CCTCAAAGTCCAATGTACCATTGGTTGTGATGTCACCAGTATTTGGATTGAGAATGAAGAGGAGGCTGGTACTTGCTGGGGCATTGAGGAAGGCATAGGTGATTTCTGCATTAATGCCCTCGTCCTGGTCAGTGGCCATCACCTGCAGCACAGAGGTTCCCCGGGGCACATTTTCTTGGAGGCTAACCCTGTAAGTGTCCTGGCTGAACACTGGAGCATTATCATTGGCATCAGTGACCTGTATCCGGATCAGGGTAGTGCCACTTAAAGGAGGGTCCCCACCATCCATGGCAGTCAGGATTAAACTGTGGGAATCCTGCTGTTCTCTGTCCAGAGGTTTTTCCAGCAGTAACTCTGGGTATTTACTTCCATCAGGACTTTGCTTTGTTGACAGAGAGAAGTGCTCATTGTGGCTGATGAAATATTTCTTCAGTGAGTTACTTTCTACATCTGCATCTTGCGCAGAATCCAGAGGGAATTTTACCCCTGGTAAGGCTAACTCAGAGATTTCCAAGTCAATGCTTTTTGCAATGAAATGTGGTGCATTGTCATTAATATCTTGAATTGCAACACTTACATGGAAAATAGTCATTGGATTGTCAGCAACCATTTCAAATTCTACAGTACACTCAGATTTTCTCCCACAAATCTTCTCTCGATCTATCCTGCCACTCACTAGCAAATCTCCATTCTCTGCTCTCACGCTGAAAAAGTCCTCTGCACTAATCTGCAGTTTTCGAGCTGGCAACTCCTGGACACTGAGCCTTAGATCCTTGGCCAGGTTCCCCACCCTTGAGCCCTTGTCCAGCTCCTCTGCAATAGAGTACTGGATCTGCTGGGAGATTGCCCCGCGCAACAATGACAGCAGGAAGAGAAACAGTACCTGACTTTTCATTGTTTCAGCTTTTCTGAAGCTCCTAAGAATTTCTTGAACTCTCTGGGAAGCTGCTCTTCAAGATGTCTCTGGGATGTTTAAATAATCAACACAGCACCCTGGACTTCTGTGATTTGAGGGTACGATTTGTCAGGCACTTAAGGTTGCACAGGAGGCGCGTCTGCATTCTGATGCATACAGGACAAAGCAAGAAAGAAAACACTTCCGGCCACTCCTGCAGAACTGAGAACGCTTATCTTCCCTTTGGTCAACAGCGGCACCAGGAGGTTGCCTGAGAAAACTGCATATTACCCAACTACCTATTCCTCAAAGTGTAAGCTCTTGAATCTATTAATATATATCTTGTCTTTTTATTTTTTAGAAAGAACAAACTATTCAGATTTTCCCTTCAAATCTGATACTGTGTAGATTTTCATCATTTAAAAGTTGCCATTATTTTATTCTTCTTTCTTCATTAAAGATTTTCCATAAGGCATACAGCTTTTATTTATTTTTTTTTGGAGGGCAAAAATATCTTCAGTGAGTCTACTATATTTATAAACACTGGCATGACTAGTATGGATGTAACTAATTAGATTATTGTTAGTGGATAAAAACATTTAATCTTTGAAAAAAAGAGAAAGTAAAAATCCTAGACTTATTTACTATATTGCTCAACATTTTAAAGTATATGTAACCTTCCCATTAAGTACAAAGGAGCCTGATAGTTTGTTAAAGAGACCAATCTAGTATTTGAGCACACATCTGCTTTTATAAAACTAAATCTCATGTAAGTATATTTATTTTAATGACATCAGTGCTTTTTTACTATATGATTTTATACACAAATACTCCTTAATGCCAATACTCAGTTCCAGTCAATTTACACATTAATAAGTGTAATGTGTAAATTGTGATTCGATCACTGGTAAATCTTGGAGAGGAATTGAAAGTTCTTAGACACTCCCATTTTGAAACTTACCTATACTCCTTAAACCAGTCTTAGGTAAGTAAAACAGACAAACACCTTTATTTCAAATGCACTACCAGATTAGATACCAACCAAACAATTTATTCTGTTACCCTGCGGTGCTAATCCATACTCCTTTTACATTCCAGTCAAGACAGATTATTGTTTTCCTAAGACAGCCTTTCCCTTGTTTGCCCTACTTCGTGTCTTGATACTTTCTGTTCCTTTTATTATAAACCCTCCTCCCCTTTTATTGCAATGAAGTCTTGCCTATCCTTAAAAAATCCTTTCTAGTGAAAATGGCATGTCTGAGACTTCTTATCATCCATACAAATAGATGCCTTTGTACTCTATGTATTTTCCCAATATATGTGTAGGTTATATTTTACATGAAATTCTTAGAAAATTCTCTTTGAACATCTAAAGTTCCTGTGGCCCTAGCCATTTAATATTTTTTCTCATTACAAGGAAAGTTACATTAGTATCATAAAGATTTTTCCTAACAAATATTCCAAAGGTAATGTGCCTTTTTTCTGTGGTGCATTTGCAGGTTTGAGTGAGACTACACCCTTCTCTGTTTTCAGCTATTTTGTTCAGGCCCTTTTGTCACTCACGTTTGAATGTATCCCTTCCTAACACACTGAAGGAGAGATGTACTCCTTTGTTTAAGACCTAATGAAATCTATTTAGGCCTAATTTTGGATGACTGTCTGGTGTAACTTTATGGGTGAAAATAATTTCATAAATTTCAAAATGGGTCAACAATTTATAGCTCAAGAAAGTTGCAGGATGCATGGGACTTCCCTGGTGCTCCAGTGGCTAACATTCCATGCTCCCAACTCAGGGGGCCAGGTTCAATACCAAGTAAGAGAAGTAGATCCCATATGCTACAAGGAAGATTGAAAATCCTGAGTGCTGTGACCAAGACTCAGTGCAGTCAAATAAATATATAAATATTTTTATAAAAAGTTTAGGGCTCCTTTTCCATGGTTCGAGTGGATGGTCTGAAAATCTCTTAAAGAGGCTAAGACATATCTCCTTACATTTTATAATCTGTCTCAAAGGACAAGGAATGCCACTCCAAGGCTCACAACTGTTTAGGCAATTGAGCTTCCCACCTTCAGAGAAAAGGCTGAAATCCATATGGATACACACAAATACACACACTTTAAAGTATACCAAGTAGGGACTACATGCCAGGTAAAAGAATTTTACAAACCTCTATTTTTTACCCTATCATTTTTATGTTATCAGGATGAATCCAGTTTGGTCTGTCTTGGAAGGAGTTAAGCATCATATTATTAGAGCCTAAAATACTATATACTTGTTTATCAGGATAGGCTAGGTAGGTTGAAGTGACAAACTTCATTATCACAGCGATTTAAAATAAAACATCTACTTATCACAGGTATACAAATCAATGTTGAGTCAACCACAGGGCTCTTCTTTCATTGCAGTCATTCAAGGACTTAGATAGGAGGCACAGTCACAATTTCAAAGAATAAGTTAGAGATCTGGTAATTCTTACAATGACTAGGATTTCCTCTGGGAAGAGAGTCACATAATTCTACTTACAATGTATTGGTCGGAAATATTTACTAGGCCCACTCAGCTATACTAGGCAAGGAAGTGCAGCCCCATCACAATCCCAGAAGAAGAGAGGAATACATTTAAACAAAAGAACCAATGACTACTTCATTGCTTTATTTTCAAATAAATGTGTATTAAAAATTTAAAATAACCACAGTGGCATAACTGTCCTTTAAAATATTAAAAGAAAGAAAGAAACTCACCTGGAGCTCGTTGGAGTCACCTTTCATTTCCAGTAAATCTTGAGATATCAGGAGAGGCTCGCTTTTCCCACAGCTCTCCTGACTGATGAGCGTGTCCGCATAGTTCGGCTGCGGGAAGATCACGTGACTCCCCCGAGAGTCCGCGGTGAGCGAGACCTCGTGCGAATAGGTCTGCAGGAAAGCCCGCACCCCGTCCACGCCCACAAACTGAGACGCCGGCACGCCAGCCAACCTGCTGCCCGAAGCCTGGAGCAGACGCGACAAGTGCCAATGCCGCAGTCTGAGCGCCAGCAGCACAATGACAAAGGCGAGGAAGACGCAGGAGACCGCGGCCACCGCCACCACCAGGTAGAGTGTGAGGCCAGAGTCGTCAGGGTCCACTGAGGGCTTCAGGCTGCCTAGGTCAGTCAGGACGTCTGGGATGCTGTCAGCCACAGCCACGGTGAGCGTGACGGTGGCAGAGAGAGGGGGCTGGCCGTGATCCTGGACCGCCACCACCAGGCTCTGCCTGAGCGCGTCTCTGTCCAGCAGGGCCCGCGCTGTGCGCACCTCGCCTGTGTGCAGCCCCACCGAGAAGAGCCCTGGCTCGCTGGCCTTGAGCAGGCGGTAGGACAGCCAGGCGTTCTGTCCTGAGTCTCTGTCCACTGCCACCACCTTGGTGACCAGGTAGCCGGGCTCTGCGGAGCGGGGTGCCAGCTCCACACCGGTAGAACCATCAGTTGGGAGGGCAGGATATAGAATCTCAGGTGTGTTGTCATTCTGGTCCAACACAAATAGGCTCAAAGACACGTTGCTGCTGAGTGGAGGGTTCCCACTGTCACTAGCAGTCACTAGTAGCTTCAGGTCTCTAACCTGCTCAAAGTCAAAGGAGTGTAGAGCATACAGGACTCCAGTGTCTGAGTTTATGGAGACGTAGGTGGAGAGAGGCGCCCCTTGGATGGTATCCTCAGTCAGTGCATAGGTAATGTGGGCATTCTCAATGCTGTCAGGGTCATGGGCGGTCACAGAGAAGATGGAGGCTCCCCTGGGGTTGTTTTCAGGAATGTAGGCAGAATAGAAGGCATGAGTGAAAGCCGGTGGGTTGTCGTTGATGTCTGACACATGCAGGGTGATGTGTGTGTCTGTGGACAGTGGCGGACTACCCCCATCTGTAGCTCTCAGAGTGATGTTATATTCAGACTCCTGTTCACGGTCCAGAGATCTGGCTGTCACTAAGCGGTAATATTGGTTTATTGATTTTTCTAAATTAAATGGCATATTTCCCAGGACAAAAACTGTGACCTGTCCATTTTGCCCGGAATCCCGATCATGCACGTTGATAAGGGCAATTTCCCTTCCAGCAGCTGACTCTTCTGGAACTGACCCTGTGAGAGAAGTAATTGTAACTTCTGGGGCATTGTCATTCACATCCAGAACTGTGACCAGAATCTTAGCTCTTGAAAGGAGACCTGGTCCATCTTGTGCTTCTATTTTAATTTCATAGAAAGTAGCATCCTCATAATCTAGATTTTTTAATATTGATAAGTCCCCAGTCACTGAGTTGAGATAAAAAATCTGAGCGATTTTCCCAGGCATTTTATCTAGTACATAGGATACTTGAGCATTGAATCCCTCGTCAGGGTCAGTGGCATTCACTGTGAGCAGCCGGGTGCCTACTGGCAGGTTCTCTTGAACACTTACTCGATACTCAGGCTGGGTAAATACTGGTGGATTGTCATTTGCATCTAGCACTGTCACTTGGATGCCCAAGTTGCCAGACTGCACAGGGTCACCACCATCAGAAGCAATCAGGACAAGTTGGTGAACTTTCTTTTCCTCCCGGTCAAGAGCCCGCTGCAGCACCAGCTCTGGATACTTGGCCCCATCAGTGACACTCTTCACAGCCAGGGAGAAGTAGTCATTGGGGCTGAGCTGATAGTTCAGCAGAGAGTTCGTGCCCACATCTGGGTCAAATGCAGTCTTAAGTGGAAACCGAGTTCCAGGAACTGTTAGTTCACTAATTTTTATTTCCAATTCCTCCATCAGAAAATCAGGAGCATTGTCATTAAGGTCTTTAATTTCTATTTCTACTTCAAAAATGTTCAATTTGTCTTCAACCAGGATGTTAAAACTCACCAGACACTGTGGGCTCTGAGCGCAGAGCTCCTCCCGATCTATCCTGTCCGCGGTGACCAAGCTGCCGCTTCTCGGGTTCAGAGCAAAGAGCTGCATCCTACCTCTGGAGACGATGCGGACTCCCCGCTCTGCCAGCTCCTGGGGCTCCAGCCCCAGGTCCTTGGCGATGTTACCCACGAAGGAATCTTCGTCCAGCTCCTCTGACACCGAATAGCGGATCTGCCCGCATCCGGTCTTGCACAGCGTCCCCAGAAGCACGCATAGCAGGGCCAGTCTTCCGCACTTTCTGAATCTCTGGTAATTGGTCATTTCCGTTTTGGTGAATTATTTTCTCTGAATTGGGTTCCAGTTTCCCAAGGCAGCCTTCAGTCTTATTTTATCAAGGAACTAAGACTTTCGTGGGCCTAATTTATAGGTCACAGAGCTGGCTGACTGACGGGGTGAGCTTTGAGGCAGCCTCGGATCTTCCAAGTGTGATTTGCTGGTTCTCTGCTCTTTGGAAACAAGGAAAAGGACTAGCTCTTCAGCGGCGTTTTCCTTCTTGAGTGGTGAACAGCGACGCTCAGAGGCATAACCGTTCACTGCACCCTCTGACAAATCTAAGTCAGAAGTTTCCAAGCACCTGAAATTTTTTGCTCAGAGGTAATGGGTTCAGTTTTTGTTTCACATAACTGAACCGCTATATGTTAAAAGATTTAGAGTATCTTCCTTAATAAGCCACGAGTTAACCTGAATGCCACTAATATTGCTTCAAACATGCTGAAGTTATTGTTTTGAAATGTTCAAAGTTTAAGAACTGCACAGAAATATCAGTCATATTTATAAGGTATGCCTCTTGAAATCTTCCTTCATAGCTTGACATTTTAGTTTCAATATTTTCCATTTAACCCATTCATTAAACACACATAAAATTGAGTATCTGACAATATTTGGGGATTTAATGATACAAACACAGCTACTTCCTTCATGGAGTTATAAGGATACAAAAGGAAACAAGGAATTATAGTGCAATGAGATACTGCCATAAGGTCAGAGGCCAAGGGCAATGAGAGGGCCTCCAACCTGGCCTTGGAGGTTAGCAAAGGGTTTTCCCAAGAAACTTGAGAGGAGTAGATGAGGGAGTGGTAAGGCCTGGATACAAGACAGAATAATATGGCAATACCTAGATGTGAGAGAAAAACCACAGAACTTCAGGGTACTGAAAGTCGTCTGTTTTGCCTAAAATTAGAGTGTGAAGATGTTTTTAAGGACAAAAACTGAAACTAGTAGAGATAAACTTTTGTTTTGTATTCCAGAAATCCTTTTCCTGTATTTGTTTTCCTCTCCAAGCACAGTAATAGGAACTCATTTGTCATTTCAATCATGATGCATTATACAGCTATGCATAAGGCATTTATATCATGAAGAATTACTGTATACACTAAAAGGAACTTTGTTTTCAATTTTTCCCAGTTCGTACTTTATTTACTTGCAAAATGTTTGTATTATTCCACAGTGAGTGCCAACTTTATCTCAAAGAAAATTATATAATAGTAATAACACAATGTCCCTCAGGTGCCCTTAAACAGTAAAGAATCACAACATCTTGTGCTCACTTCAGCAACATTCATATAAAGAATCACAACATCTTAAAGAATGATGGCACCATTATATACATGACTGACTTAGTACAGGATTATTTCCAAATAAAAGATGACCCCAGTTACACAGAATAGTAGTGTATTTTTTGTTCTTTGTTATTAAGTATATAACTAACATACTAAAAGCCAACATGGGAAGAGGAATGGGGGAGGAAAACTTGGCTGTAAGGGGGACTGATGTTGGTGGAGGAACTGGAAACATTTTCAACAGCTACTGTGAGTAGGAAACTTTGAGAAATGTAAAAGGAGAATCTTTAGGGGCAATTATTTGATGTGGTCTCTGACTCCCTTGAGGATATATATTATAAAGATATTTATAAAAAGGCAATGTTGTTTCCACATATGAGAAAAATAAAAAGTAACAGGGAACAGACACATCTTAACTATTATACAAACCATGTATTATATTAACACAGCAAATGATAACTCAATTACTCTTAAAGGAACACAGCTACTTTAGAGGCTAATGACATTTTGAACTAAACAGAGATTGCATGACATACCTTCCTGAAACATGGTAAAGCATATCTATTCCTAAACACATCTTTAGTAGTGATCATTCAAATAAAAAAATATGAGGAATCTCACTGCTAAACTGAAGGAAAAACATAAAGACTGAGATGAAAACAAACAACTACAGTATTTATTAATATTCATAAACAAATACAAATATAAAGCATAAAAGTATTAAATTTTAAAAGAGGGAGACATTTGAGGAAACAAAAGTCAACATTCATATATCTAACAAAGAACTGTTGATTCAGGAGGATTGGGATGGTTTGCTAAGGGATGAGAAAGAAAGTAGGAGAAACCAGATACCCCAGTTCCTAAGGCTTTTTTTAGTTGTTGTTGTTAATGCATTAATTTTTTTAATTGGAGGATAATTGCTTTACAATATTGTGCTGGTTTCTGCCATACATCAACATGAATCAGCCACAGGTATCCATATGACCCCTCCCTCTTGAACCTAAGGCTCTTTTGATAACCTAAATATCATCTTCACCTACTAATTCCCGATTTATACTAATGACATAATGATTCTAGCTCCTCTTCCCTGTTACACCATGTGAACACTTAGAACTAGTGAGAAATAATACATGAGGACTATTTCTTAAACTGAACATGTCCACAAAAAAATATGGGAAATAAAAAAGGTATGGTAAACTGTGGAGACAGCTAAGTAATTAGGTAAATTTATTTCTTTTAGCAAAGTAACTCACAGGAATATTGGGAAGAGAGTTTACCTGAGAAAATGTTTCTTCTTTATCTTCAGGTAGAAATTGAGGTTCTGAAAAAAAATCCTTTTTCTCACAGCTCTCCTGACTGATGAGCGTGTCCGCATAGTTCGGCTGCGGGAAGATCACGTGACTCCCCCGAGAGTCCGCGGTGAGCGAGACCTCGTGCGAATAGGTCTGCAGGAAGGCCCGCACCCCGTCCACGCCCACAAACTGAGACGCCGGCACGCCAGCCAACCCGCTGCCCGAAGCCTGGAGCAGACGCGACGTGTGCCAATGCCGCAGTCTGAGCGCCAGCAGCACAATGACAAAGGCGAGGAAGACGCAGGAGACCGCGGCCACCGCCACCACCAGGTAGAGTGTGAGGCCGGAGTCGTCAGGGTCCACTGAGGGCTTCAGGCTGCCTAGGTCAGTCAGGACGTCTGGGATGCTGTCAGCCACAGCCACGGTGAGCGTGACGGTGGCAGAGAGAGGGGGCTGGCCGTGGTCCTGGACCGCCACCACCAGGCTCTGCTTGAGCGCGTCTCTGTCCAGCAGGGCCCGCGCTGTGCGCACCTCGCCCGTGTGCAGCCCCACCGAGAAGAGCCCTGGCTCGCTGGCCTTGAGCAGGCGGTAGGACAGCCAGGCGTTCTGTCCTGAGTCTCTGTCCACTGCCACCACCTTGGTGACCAGGTAGCCGGGCTCTGCGGAGCGGGGTGCCAGCTCCACGCCCATGGAACCGTCCGTGGGGAGTGCAGGGTACAGAATCTCAGGTGTGTTGTCGTTCTGGTCCAGCACGAATATGCTCACAGACACATTGGTGCTGAGGGGTGGATTCCCACCATCCTGTGCTGTAACCCATAACTGAAGTTCACGGAACTGCTCATAATCAAATGAACGCAGTGCGTAGAGGACACCAGTGTCAGAGTTGATGGAGATGTATGAGGACAGGGGTGCACTCTGAAGGGTGTCCTCGTCCAAGCTATAAGTTACATGGGCATTGTCGTTGCTGTCGGGGTCACAGGCCATCACGGAAAAGATGGAGGCACCTCTGGGGTTGTTTTCAGGAATGTAGGCAGAGTAGGACGTGTGGGGAAAGGTGGGAGGGTTGTCATTGATGTCTGTCACCTGCAGCAAAATGTAAGCATTTGTGGATAGAGATGGGCTCCCTCCATCTTTAGCAGTCACAGTGATGTTGTAAGAGGAAAACTGTTCCCTGTCAAGGACTCTGGTTGTAACCAATCGGTGGTAATTGTCCACTGACCTTTCTAATTTGAAAGGAAGGTTCTCTGGGAGTGAACATGTGATAAATGCATTCTGCCCAGAGTCTCTGTCATGTACATTGAAAAGTGCGATTATGGTTCCTGGAGGAGAATCTTCAGGAATTGAGCTTGTAGCAGTTGTCATGTAGAATTCTGGGACATTGTCATTCACGTCCAGAACTGTGACAATGACCTTCATTCTGGTCAGAAGGCCTGGGCCATCCTGAGCTTCAATATCAATTTCATGGAATTTTGCATCCTCATAATCTAGGCTTTTTGTGATTGTTATTTCTCCAGATGCTGACTTAAGCTCAAATACCTCTGAGGTTTCTTCAGGGTTTTTCTCCAGAAAATATGTCACCTGGGCATTGTATCCCTCATCTGCATCAGTGGCGGTCACTGTAAGTATCCGGGTGCCTACGGGAGTGTTCTCTGGAACACTTACACGGTACTCGGGCTGTGTAAAAACAGGAGCGTTGTCGTTCACATCCAGGACCGTCACGCGGATGCGGGAGGTGCCAGATCTGATAGGGTCGCCCCCGTCCAAAGCCTTGAGAACGAGGTAGTGTACGGCCTCCTCCTCACGGTCGAGAGCGCGTCCCAGCACCAGCTCCGGGTACTTGTTACCATCCACCCCGCTTCTCACGTCCAGAGAGAAGTGGTCATTTGAATTAATTTCGTACTTTTGAAGAGTGTTCTCTCCGACGTCTGCGTCATGCGCGCTCTTAAGAGGGATCCGGAATCCTGGCGTAGTCATTTCACTAATTTTTAGCTCCACTTCCTCTACTCCAAAGCGAGGGGCATTATCGTTAATATCTTTTATTTCCACTTCCACTGAATAAATACTCAATTTATCTTCCAGGAGTATGTTAAAGCTCACCAGACACCGCGCACTCTGGGCGCAGAGCTCCTCCCGGTCTATCCTGCCCGCGGTGACCAAGCTGCCGTTTCGCGGGTTCAGAGCGAAGAGATGCGTCCTACCTCTGGAGACGATGCGGGCCCCGCGCTCCGCTAGTGCCAGAGGCTCTAGCCCGAGATCCTTGGCAACGCTGCCCACGAATGACCCTTTTTCTATCTCTTCTGGCAATGAATAGCGCATCTGCCCAGCTCCAGCCTCCCACAGGGCCACCCAAAGAAGGCACAGCAAGACAAACCTTCCGCGATGTGGCAAATATAGCAGAGCCGCCATTTCTTGAGCTGCAGTCTTTTCTCCCAGGCAACTTCCAGCCTCCAGCTCGGGATTCCAATCTTTATTCCTCAGGGGCTGAAGTGACCAGCATTCACGGGACCCAAGTCACTGTGGAGAGAACTAGTGGGCTGTTGGACTGAATTTCTTTGCCGCCCCGAACCTTGCGGGCCAAATGCCCAGCTCTTTGTGTTATGGAAATCGTAATGTTGGATTGGAGGTCTCACAGGCTTACTTCTTAGGTAGTCAACAGCGACGCCCTGAGGCCTAAGTAATTTCTGCATTTTCCCAGGCAAATGCAGTTACTTCGTGTTACTCCTGTCACTTTCAAGATGCTTTGAAGAATTTTACAGTTTTAAGGTAACTGAGAGACTGCTCTTTCAAGTCAAGAGTCTTTTTTTTTTTTCTCAGAATGAATAAGAATGGTGTGAATGAATGTGATCTTGATAGTAGCAAGGAAAGCACTGTTGAACTTTGGAGGCACTAATCAAAGTAGCCTCTACCCTTAAGCCAAACATCTTCAACCTCTTATTCTATATTGGGAGAAAGTAAGATTAATCTAAAAACATTAGCTACATTATATTCTAATGTTATATATTTTAAATTTATGTGCTTAATGGCTTAGTACTGAACTTCAAAACCTGTATTTTTTCCAAAATCTGTATTTAAAGTATTGAGTTATCAGACACTTAATTGAGTGACTAACCTTTGCCTGACACTTTGCCTGACTGATGCTGTACACAGAACTGGTGCACCTGATGGACACAGTCCAGTTCTTAAGGGAATTTACATGATAAGGGAGGACACAGTAAACCTAGTATTTTAATAGAGTATGACAAATGCTATGATGGTTGGAAACCCTGGGCAATGGGAGAATACATAGGAAAGATATTCAACCTGGGGGGGGGTCAGAAAATACTTTTCAGAACAGGATTGAACCTGGATCCTAAAGGGTATGACTGAATCAAGAAAGAGGCTGGAGTAATGTTCTAGAACCTTAGTACAAATGCTTGGAGTGAGAAGCAGCATAAACATGAAGGAAACTGAAGGTGGTTTGTTCTTCCAAGACTGTTTTGGCTATTTGAGGTCCCTTGATACCCCATGTGAATTTTAGGATAGACTTTTTTCTACTTATAAAAAAGGCATTGGGACTTTGATAGCCACTGAATTGAATCTGTAGATTGCTTTGGATAGTTCTATAAGTTTTTTTTTTTTTTGGATAGTTCTATAAGTTTTTGACAAATATTCTTTGTCAGTTTAAGTACATTTCCTTCAATTTTCACTTTGTGAAAAGATTTTAATCATGTTTTGAATGTTCTCAAGACCTTTATTATGCCTCTATTGACATGAACAGCTTTTATCTTTAATCTTTTCATATGAAGTTTTATATTAGATTTTCTTATACTGAAATATTCTTGCATCCATAAGTAATAAACCCCATTTAGTCACAAGCCATAAATATTAAATATAGTAGATAGGACTTTGAATCAATTCTTTAGCAAGATGGCACACTTCTGGTTTCATTTCAGTCTTTTTGCCTTTTGAGTTCTTCCCTGTTTCTTCATTTTCAATCCATTCCTCTGAGAACACTGATGAAATATTTATTGGAAACAATTCTTATCAACTCACCATGTTTTCTAGTAGAACCTCTAGTTTGTATCTTAAAACTTTTTCTTCAACACTCTTTTGATACTTTTGAGTCTCATTAAGTAACCACTTGACATCCCTTATTTGCAGTTTCTCTAAAGATTTTTCTGTTTCTTTGTCTTTGACAAGGTTTGGTTTTACACAGTATATTATTTCCCACTCATACTTCTTGCTTAGTATTAAGCTGTTTTATTTTTTCCTAGTCTCACTTGGTTTTCCTTCTCTTTTCCCAGGTCTTTGTCTATAATCAGAATTTTGGGTCTTCTTTTAAGATCTCTAAAATGAATTTTAGTCCTGCTATCTACCTAGCCAATATTAGTCCCAGCACTTGACTTGACAGAAGATTCAATTTCTCCCCATTAGTGTCAGCTTCTATTGCTTCACCATCAGAATTCTTCCTGTTTTGCATTTCAATAATTTATATTCTGCTTCCCTTTCCTGATATTTTCTTTATACTGATATTATATATTTCTTGCTTTATTTCTTGATTGTTGAGCTAACTTCATTAATTTTAATAATTTGTTTTTTGAAATTCTTATGGTTGTCTATAAATGTAACCCTAAATATCTTTTAGAGGCATTCCACAATTTTAAATAAATAATATTTTAATTTTTGAGTTTTTATTTCCATTGTGATTTTTAAAATCCAATAGTAGTTTAGTGGTATAGATTTAAATGCTCATTTTGTTTTCTTTTAAAGTATTTGCTTTGTGATTTTTCCAGCTTTATAATTTTAAATAAAATTTTAAGATACTTAAAGTGTACAACATGATGATTTGCTATATATACACTGTGAAAAGATTCCTCCTCCTGAGCTAATAATACATTCATCACTTCACATACTTACCTTTGTGTATGTGTGAGAGAGAATTAAATTACACTCTTAGCAAATTTCTATTATACAATATAATGTTATCAACTATAGTCTCCACTCTATATATTGGGTCCTACGGCCTTATTCATCTTACAATGCAAGGTCTGTACCTTTTTATTATTAATACCTCTCCCCTATCCCCCACCACCCAATTTGTGATTTAAGCATATGTTATAAAGCATGTATATTATTGGTACTTTGAAATTTTCTCTGCCGTTTTTTGTGCATGTGATGATTATGTATTAAATTGTTGTAGAGTCTCCATATTTTCATATAAAAGTGGTTATTCTATATTTGTTGTGTATAACATTGTATACAGATTTGTCCGATCAAGGTAAGTCCAAGACCAGAATTCCCACTTTAGTGTTAGCCTGGCTCACCACTTTCTGTCCATCTTTGGTCCATTTAGATATTTATTTTTATTTGTGCCTTATTATGCTTTTTTCATTTTATATTATATGTATATCTTTATTTATTGGAACAGAGTATTTTAAAGGATGAACTTACTTATGATGCATTTCTTGTGAAGAGCTAATACATTAAAGTGAAATATATATTTGATTTTTGTTAGTTGTTTACATTACAGGCATAATATACAAGTCAGGAGGCTTTAAACTATTTCTCACGTTGCACAGGAAATTTTCTGTCATCCATTTTATTACTTCATTTTGTAACTTACTTAAACATTTGGTATATTCTTGAGTGTGCATAAAACATACCAAAAAAAACCCCGCTAAACAAAGGGCTAAGATATTCAACAATAGTTTAAATTTTCAGCTTACCTAGATTTCCATAATTTTATGTTAACACAACTTAAAATACTACTTTAGACAATCTTTACCTCTTAAAATATTCCCAAATAAGACAGCACCCCAACAGATGACATATACGTTAAATTTAGGAGTAGATGAGGAGATATTTATAATCTAAGGATATCCAAAAACAGAATCAGTCACATAAATATTTGTAGACCTAGTCAAACTCTATCATTGTCAGATAAGAGCATGGTAAAGAAAAAATTACTTGGCCAGAAGCAAGCAAGAAAACATTAAAAGCCAAATCTCCTTGTTTCTGATGCAATGCTCTTTCCACAACTCTGTCCCAACCAACTACATTATGATTAATTACGATCTCCTTTTCAATGAAAGAACAATTATAAATATACTTGGATAGAAACACTTAATAATGATTTCCCAGGATCTGTAAATATAAACACAAAGACAAAGACAAACACAAAAACCGGAAATAGAGACTTTTTAGCAGTAAAGAGTGAAAGCAAGTAAACACAGAAATCATTTTTATCTAGATAAATTTACTACAAAAGATTTACCTGAGAAAATGTTTCCTTTTTATCTTCAAGTAAAGACTGAGGTACTGACAAGAAATCTTTTTTTTCACCGCTCTCCTGACTGATGAGCGTGTCCGCGTAGTTCGGCTGCGGGAAGATCACGTGACTCCCCCGAGAGTCCGCCGTGAGCGAGACCTCGTGCGAATAGGTCTGCAGGAAGGCCCGCACCCCGTCCACGCCCACAAAGTGAGAGGTGGGCAAGCCTGCCAATACACTTGCTGACGTCTGCGCACGCAGTCTGTGCCAGCGTCGCAATCTGAGCGCCAGCAACGCGATGATAAAAGCGAGGAAGACGCAGGAGACCGCGGCCACAGCCACTACCAAGTGCAACGTGAAGCTGGAGTTGTCCCGGTGGGAGGAAGTTTCAAGGCTGTCCAAGTCGGCCAGCACTTCTGGAATGCTGTCAGCAACAGCCACAGTGAATGTGATGGTGGCCGACAGAGGGGGCTGGCCGTGATCCTGGACCGCCACCACCAGGCTCTGCCTGAGCGCGTCTCTGTCCAGCAGGGCCCGCGCTGTGCGCACCTCGCCCGTGTGCAGCCCCACCGAGAAGAGTCCTGGCTCGCTGGCCTTGAGTAGGCGGTAAGATAGCCAGGCGTTCTGTCCGGAGTCTCTGTCCACTGCCACTACCTTGGTAACCAGGTAGCCTGGTTCTGCAGAGCGGGGTGCCAGCTCCACACCGGTGGAACCATCCGTGGGGAGTGCAGGATACAGGATTTCAGGTGTGTTGTCGTTCTGGTCCAGCACGAATATGCTCAAAGACACATTGCTGCCGAGTGGTGGGTCCCCGCTGTCACGAGCCATCAATCTCAACTGCAGGTCCTGGAACTGCTCATAGTCAAACGATCGCAAGGCATATAGGACTCCAGTGTCTGAGTTGATGGAGACATAGGAGGACAGAGGCACTCCTTGGATGGTGTCCTCCACCAGGGAATATGTGACCTGTGCATTCTCATTACTGTCAGCATCATGGGCTGTCACGCAGAAAATGGAGGCACCTCTGCGGTTGTTTTCTAGAATGTAGGTGGAGTAGAAGTCCTTGGGGAAGACAGGGGGGTTGTCGTTGATATCTGTCACTTGAAGTGAAATGTGCGTTTCAGTAGATAGAGTCGGAGTTCCCTGATCTGTGGCTGTTATTGTAATATTGTACTGGGAGGTAAGTTCTCTATCCATTGTTTTTTCTGTCACCAAACGGTAATAATTATCATCTAACTTTTCTAATTTAAAGGGTAGATTTCCAGAAATGGAACATGAAGTTTGACCATTGTCTCCAGAGTCCTGATCATGCACACTGATAAGAGCAATTATGGCCCCAGGAGGAAAGTTTTCTGGGACTGAAGTGGTGACAGAGGTGATGGTTACCTCTGGGGCATTATCATTTATGTCCAGAACTTTGACCAGCACCTTAGCTCTGGCCATGAGGCCTGCACCATCCTGAGCTTGAATTTCCATTGGATAAATTGTGTATTGTTCAAAATCCAGAGGTTCTTGACTTGATATTTCTCCCGTGTAAGAATCCAAGTGAAATATTTGTGCCATTTTGTGGTCTATATTATGAAACGAATATGTTACTTCCCCATTGGCACCTTCATCTGGGTCCATGGCTTTTACCATGAGCAGTCGAGTGCCCAGAGGCACGTTCTCAGGTACACTCGTGTGGTACACTGCTTGTGTAAACGCTGGAGGGTTGTCATTTACATCCACCACCTGAACTCGAATTCGGAGGGTTCCTGAACGGGCTGGGTTGCCCCCATCAAAAGCAGTGAGGAGGAAGTGATGGACAGCTTCTTCTTCCCTGTCTAGGGGACTCTGCAGCACCATCTCCGGCTGTTGGGACCCATCAGATCCCTGTAGAGCATCCAGGGAGAAATGAGGGTTGGAGCTGAGCCGATAGCTCTGGAGCGAATTCATACCCACATCAAGGTCTTGCCCAGAAGGCAGGGGGATCCTGGTACCTGGAGCAGTTATTTCATTCATTTTAAATTCCACTTCTTCTAACTGGAATTCGGGAGTGTTGTCATTAATATCAATTATTTCCACTTCAACAGGGAAAAGCTTCATTTTATCCTCTACTAAGACGCTAAAACTCACCAGACACCGCGCGCTCTGAGCGCAGAGCTCTTCCCGGTCTATCCTGCCGGCGGTGACCAAGCTGCCGCTTCGCGGGTTCAGAGCAAAGAGCTGCTTCCTACCTCTGGAGACGATTCGGACTCCGCGCTCCATCAGCTCCTGGGGTTGTAGCCCCAGATCCTTGGCGATGTTGCCCACAAAGAAACCTTTGTCTGTCTCTTCTGACACCGAGTAGCGGATCTTCCCAGCCTGGGCTTCCAACAACAGCCCCAGAAAAAGGAACAGTAGGACCAGCCTGCGGCAGCCGAGCACCTTCACTCGAATCGCCATTGCTCTCTTGCTTCGTATTCTCTCAGTCCGGCACCAAGAGTATTGTTTTCCTGCTCTCTGAGTCTAAATTAACAAAATTTAGAATTTTGAGCAATTTTGAGAATTCAGAGCAGAAAGTGGTCCAGAAGTATGATCAGGGCAGCCTCAGAGAGACTTTTCAATCCGGCAGTGATGGTGATTCTAAGAAGTCCCCTCCCACCCTGGGTGTCTGTGTGCTGCCTTCATCTTCCAGACTGGTGAACAGCGGCACCCAGAGTCCTAACCAGTTACTGCACTCCTAGATAATACTTGAACTTTCTCTTCTCATTCAGCTGATCTATGTTTCCTTAAGTCTTAGTTTATTGTCAAGAAACTCGCTAAGATATTAACACTATGAAAAGGAGAAACTACTATGTTCATAAATTACTTACATCTACTTATTGCTAAATTTTAACATACAGTAGAATCCAAGCTCTGTTGGATACTCCAGTAGTATTCCCAAATTACCTGAGAATTCCCAAGCATTCCCTGTTTCCTATTCAGGAAATAACACAAAGGAGACTAATCATCCCTCCACCTCTGGAGTGTATGTTGACCACCTGGTCATTTCACAGGCCATAGAGAAGAGTAACTGCCCTTTGACTAAAGGATGAAAAAAAAAACTAAAAGGAAAAATAAATTTTCAGAGTGTAAGCAAGACTTTAATACATTGGATTGTCCTATTTCCTATATGTTGTGCTCTGAATATTTAGCAGAAATCTTGGGAGTTTTGAAGGACATATTTTTTACTCCATCCTATTTTTCTTTTATTGTAGTATCTATGTATTATGTGGATTTAAAAAGACCTTTAATATGGACATTAAAAAGACCTTTAAATCAGCTGAAAGTAATTTGTTTTGAATAAAATAACACTGGGCTAGGACTTCCCTGGCAGTCCAGTGATTAACACTCTGTGCTTCCTCTGCAAGGGGCATGGATTCGATCCCTGGTCCAGGCACTAAGAGTTGTGGCCAAAAAAACCAAACCTAACCAAACAAAAAACACTGGGTTCTTGACATTTCATTGGAAAAATGTCACATGAATATCTAATTTAGACTTTAAGAGAGACAAGAGGCAGTGATATTATTTTTCAAAACTGAAAATAAAAATACCACATCTTTATTTTTAGATAGTCTGTATTAGAATAACATGTATTTTCCTACATCCATACTTAATACATTCTCCAAAAGAAGTTGGTTTTCTAAAATAGCAAGATTTTAAAACTATACTGCCTTCCTTCTTTTACTCATTGCAAAATTAGTAAATGGTTACTAACTAAAATGTCTCAGACTTAGTGTCATTTATTTAAACTTACACAAAAGTTAAGAAAGAATGAACTCTGCATTCTAGAGGCTGACATTTTTCAGGAACAAATTGGGCAGATATTGGCAGCCAACCCATGGACACTGTGACTGAGAAGGGTCTGGAAAATGATGAAAGAAAGGAAACAAAGGTCAGAATAGTTCTTGGGAGAGAGAATCTATGTTCTTATATAACCAAATCTACACTTTTCCACTTCTCAAAGACAAGTATAATGGAGCCCAAGAGCAGAAACTTAAAGATGACATGAACTTCCTTCAATATTTCAAAAAAAGAACTCTTCAGCAGGAAACATAATTTCTCAGACCATACATTAATAGGCACAAAATTTTGCCCAAAGGAATTTTCTGGCTAATGAAACAAATCAAAATATACATAGAAACTAGCAAGTGAATTTGTAGAGCTCCCCACACCCCTAAAGACAACAAAAGTAAGCAGAACTGCTTACAGCAGGATATTTATGAAACAAAAGTGTTAAAATTCACACATATACATTTGAATCCAACATAATATTTAAGGCTTCAGTGATGGTACTACAGAAACAATCCAGTTAAAAGGTTTCTGAGTTAATTTGAAGAAATTAAGATCGCAAGATCTGAAGCCAAGCTGTATATTGACAGTAGGAATAGGGCAAATCTCTCCTGCTAAAGTGGGAGCAACTCCAAATCCAGGTTTGGACCAGGCTGAAAGCAGGGCTGGAAGAGCAGTGCAGGTACTAGGCTATGGCCAGAGTCACTGTAGGAAGAAGAGCATGGAGATCAAGGCCAAAAGGCCATAACCAGGTAAAACTGCAGCTCTGGTAGGGGGTGCTGGGTGGTCATGGAAGTCTGTCCACAGCTCCTGCAAAGACCAGCGGCAGTGTGACGAATATTGTCATGGAGCACAGTGACCAGCAAGTCCCCAAGAGCAACATCCCTGTCATCCATAGTGTCCCAGTGGGCATCTCACTCGTGGGCATCCTCAGGTTGAAGAGTCGGATCAGGCGGTCTGAAGCACCTGACAGGACAGTCAGGTGTTGTGCCCCAGTCAGTGGCCATCTTGGCGACCAGGCAGTCGGGCTGCACAGTAAGCAGTGCCCTACTGAAGAGGGACACAACTTCCAGGTGCAACTCCCAGCATAGCGAGTGTTCTTGAAGTTTTGGCAGTGGTAGTCCATTATTACAGGCTGACTCAGGATGTCACTGAGCCCTGGTCAGGGGGCGCAGTGTCAGCTCAAAGGTAGGCTGCAGTGAACACCATTGTGCTCTACACTCACTGACATGTCAGACAATAGCACCAGGTCACTGGTCAGGAAAAACAGGATGCACTTAGGGCACCAACTTTGAATTGGAAGCACTAAAGTGTGCAATAGGTGGGGCGCTGGGTGAGTGCTCTCAGTCTCCTGGACCATACAGTAGACCTGTTGGAAAACTAGAGCGTTTTTGCTGATGTGGGTTATATTCAGGCTGATGCTTGTGTGGGAGGAGAGGGACAGCTTGTCCTTGTCAGTTACCTTATAATTCCAAGTCAGCCCCCAGTTCAGAACTTCATCTGCCAGTGGCTTACAAAGAATTACTAATTCTTACTGGTGAATTGTTTGGCACTCTGTTTATTACTCTCTACAATATCTTTCACTGCTCTCTTCAAACAAGTCTCTGAGTCCTGTTGTTTTGATTACACCAACTATAATTCTTATCTCTAAAAGGACTAACATTCAGCTGAAAGTCACCTGCACTGCATTATAGTTCTCAACTCCATTTCAACCAGGATTGTGAAAAAGGCCCTTAACTGTCCCGTCTTCTCTTCTATGCTGTGATGTAACTGTCACTCTTCAAAATCAAAGACAGTGCCATCATTATGGAATATATTCTGTATGCCTGGTGAGACTGTGAAAAGTGCAGGAGAACTCTACCTTAAGGGTGTCATCTAGGTCCGCAGGGACCACCTGAAGAATGCAGACAAGGAGGTTCTCTTGTAACTCAGTACGGGAGGACTGGCTTTGGCATCCAAGACCTGCATCTTCCCCTGAATCTCTTCTTAACCACTAAGTGATGACAGCTCTGCTACACTGGTCCAGATTTTCCCAATAAATAACCAGAGAATTTACTGCCCCAGTGTTTTCTTTTACTTTTGGCAGTGAGAGAGCTGTCTAACTGAAACTAATCTGATAAACTTGTAGAGAATTACTGCGGCATCCACATCTACTGCAGTTTGGAAGTAAAATTTGCACCTATTAAAATAATTTCCAGAATTTTCAAAACAAAATGGCTGTGCTCAAAGCCATATGTTATTTATGTCTAGCGTAAATTGTTGTTGGTTAGTTGCTAAATCATGTCCTACTCTTTTGCAACCCCATGGACTATAGCCCACCAGGCTCCTCTGTCCATGGTATTTCCCAGGCAAGAATACTGGAGTGTGTTGCCATTTCCTTCTCCAGGGGATCTCTTCAACCCAGGGATCGAACCTGTGCCTCCTGCATTGGCAAGCAGATTGTTTACCATTGAGCCACCAGGGAAACCCTACTTTATAGAAATAGTTTACATAAAATATATAAATATGTAAAATATAAATATAAAATATGTATATACATACTTTTAATATATAAAAGAATTTCCAGTGATGGTTTCAGAATTCAAGGTTCCTAGGGACTCCCTTTGGCCTATTGGCTAGGTCTATACTGTCATTCTTTTGCTCCTCCCAGCTCCTTGCTCAGCACTCACCCATGGCTCTGGTCACCGAGAAGTAGATCTTCGGTGCGAATCCCCACTTTTAAATCCTTGGCTACGTTTCCCGGAAGGAATCTCACAGTGCCTCTGTTGAGCAGTTCACT